CACATTTTACTCGGCTTTTTCTGCATTCTTTGATTGCCAGCACATCAATCAAGCCATTCAGATAAAAACTTGTTGGAAGATCTTTCAGATCGCCACTTTCAGGTACTCTGCTAATGGCTTGACATTTCGGGCATCTGATGCTGCCGCGACCATGGCTCGTCCTATGCCATTGTTTCAAGCAGTGCAGACAGAAACTGTGTAAGCATGGCAGCTGTTTCGGATCGGTAAATATTTCGGAACACACCGAGCAAGACACTTCTTCACGGAGATTATGAAGCAACGTTTGGATATCCATGTCGTGTTCAGAGACAAGCAGGAAAGGAAGGTTTTCGTGGAACTCAGCTCGAAACAATGAAGTCTTGTAACTTTCTTTTTTTTAGCTCTTCTTGGAATCGGTTGTTTGTTAACAATCTTTTCCGTTGTGCGAACCAATCATAGTGGAACATTGTTGGATACTGAATCTCAGGAACGTGACCTGACGAACCCGTTTTAGCTCTGTTGATAAATGTCACTCAAGCACGGATCAGAACAAAGGATCACTGATTTTAATATCATCTGTTAAATAAACAAACCATCCGTTGTTGATTTTATGCACGAAAAATTGTTATCGTGTATCGTACTTTAGACTAGTCGTTAACTACCAACGGACTGCAAGAAAGCCTGCATTAATTTGTAGACTTGGTAGATTTACGGTGGATAAGATAACGGATCTCTTCACTTAGTTACTTATTTTTTGTCTTGTTTTGTGCTTTCTGTTAGAAAATATTCTGTAGGAAAGATCGAAAGCGATCGATCGCCAAACTCCATACTTCGAGCTGTTGATAGACACAATCAAAGAGAATTTACATTTTGATAATCAAAATAAGCGAGAGATTTTTGTTCCTTTATTGCGCAAGGCATTGCGCAGTGTTTTTAGAAAGTGTTTTCAACCGTTTTTTTTAAGAAACAGTTGTAACAGTTTTGGCCGGAGAACTCGAAAAAGCTTTGGAACCACTCGCTCGCGGTTCTTGTTCCCTGATCATTTCTCGTTCTCCCAAACTTGCCCTTGTGTTTCTATTTAGACAATAGAGTGTTTCTGTCGAGGAACTATCGGCTGATAGTTGCCCCATGGAAATTTGATGTTCTTAAAAC